GCTACAGAGGGGAGTCGGAGAAGGCAATTTCAGGTACAGCCACCAGGCCTCATGGGACCTGCAGGGCCCCAAACCCAAGAAGGTGGCTCCAGAGGGACAGCACAGCTGGGGAGGTGGCCAGGACGCTCTCATCTAACCCACACATTTGCGAGCTCGTCCACAGCCAGGACTTATCTTATGCATCTATTTTCTCCCAGAACAGGCATTCGGCCCGGCCTGCAGCAAACCTTCAGCGAGACAGGGGGGAAGCAAAGCAAAACAGGAAGGGTGGGGAGAAGGCAGGAGGCCACCGCTCGGCAAGGACATGGCACTGTGACCCCGCAGTGTGGCAGACAGCGTGGGAAATAGAGACACAGAGCTGGATTCTCGTTTTGTCCTGACAGGACCCGGCTCAGTGGCTTCGGGAGTCACTTCACCTCTCTGAGCACCAGTCTCTTCCTCCGTAACAGGGGACAGTGACCGTAATGAGAGTGCCAAGTTCACAAGGTTGTTGCGGGGCTGAGGGGTGGACATAAAGCGTCTTTGGGATTATTCATGTTATGGCTGATACGTTGAGAAATGGCCTACCAAAACACATTGCCTGCTCCCCGGGAGGCAAAGAAATGGCTCTAGGGGTCAGTGTTGAGAGCCAGAGGCTGCCGTGTTCTGACATTGAACGAGCTACTCTTCGGACAATTCCTCCAGGGTTTCCCAGCCACATTCCCAGGGGACAAGCCGAGGAAGGGACTCCCAGGTCTGTTTCAGTCAACAGACAAAGTTCGGCTAATTAGGCAGAAAGCTAAGAACACAGGAGGGGAAAAGGGACCTAAACAGGTAAGCAAGACCCAGAGTGTGACAAGGACTGGGACCACTTATGTCAAGACTGTGTCCTGGCTTTTGGATGAGGAGTCAGGAGCTTGGGGAAGTGAAGGCACTTTCCCAAGATCATGAACCTAAGAGGACATCATCTGAGCTGCCCAGATGAATCTTTCCCCTGAACCCAGGAGTTGCCAGAACACCTCTCACTCATCAGCTTAAGACAAGCGACCTCCAAATGCAACACTCAGCTCCTTGTCACACCAGCCCAGGGACAACCAGGTCTGAGAACATGCCCAGATGCACCAGCACCCCCATGCCACCAGCGCCTTCCAAGCTCAGAACACCAGCATCAGCCCCTCCCTCAGCATTGGCCCCTCCCACAGCGCTGGCCCCTCCCTCAGCTTTAGAAGAAACCAGGCCCCCAGGAGTAAGAAAGAAGGAGGGGCTTCTCTCTGCATGCCCCTCCCTCCTCAAATAAGACTGCTGAACGATATTTCATCTATGTGGCCCTTTGTAAGAACCTTCTTGGTCTTAGAAAAGACAAATATTCCAGGCAATTCCTCCAGCCAATCTTCCTCAAGTCGTCCCTCCCCGAGTTGCTCTCATCTGTCATTCTCTCACAGTTTAATTGCTCTGAGCTGCTCTCTCCGGGTCAATTCTGGAATGTGAAGTCATAAACCCTTCCACCTCCGCAAAGGTGTTAGAATGAGGGATGGCTGTATCTTTGCTGTCCCCATGGTTACCTCTGCTGTGAGCAATACACTGCGGGGGGCGGTGCGGGGGGGGGGGGGGGGCGGAGCCCAACCAGGTTTACCAGCACCACGCTCTCTGAGACTAACAGCATATCCAATTTCCAGCCCGGAATCTCCAGCCCCGACCTCCGCCCTGAGCTCCGGACCAGTGACATCCAAGGGCAGACAGACCACCATCCGCCTGCAACACCCCCCGTGCACCAGGCACCTCACACTCAGTGTGTCTCCCCAGGCTCCCCCTTCAGTGGGTGGCATCCCCCCGCCAAGTCAGCCAGGCCACATGCCAAGGAGCCCTTGAGCCCTGCCTTCTTTTCCAAGCAGGACCAAGTCCTGTAAATCCCACCTCCGTGACAGCTGAGACCTCAGACTCATAAGTGCCCCCACAGCCCCCTCCTTCATCCCCCCTCACTACCCTCACCCCAGCAGGTGCTGCCCCAGCGGGGCCCGGAGGGAGCTCTCTTCAGGAGAGCAAGCGCAGCGGATGAAGGTGCACAGCTTTAGGTAAGCAGAGGACTTCACTCCATTCCTCCCACTTTGTTCTAAGTGGCAGGGCCCTCTGCCCACACCTGACAGTGCCAACGAAGGGCTGTCCCCCAACACCAACACTCTTCCTTCCTGACCCCAGGCCTAACCGGGTCAAACTGTGTGGGATCTTCTGCGGGCCCCGGACCCCAGCCCAGCTGCAGCTGTGCTCTCAGCTGACTCACGTCTCTTCTAACCTGTAGTCCCCAGCTGCAGGCAGGCGCATGGCTGAGCAGACAGGCTGGCCAGGCCCGGCTCCGGTGCTGGCTCTGCCGCTGACTAGCTGGGCAGCAGGTCACGCCGCCGCTGCCGCTATGAGCCGCAGTGGCCCTTTAAGAAGTGAGGGATTATGGGATTGTGTCCATTTCTCAGAGGTTCGTGGGCAGTGGGTATGATAAAGTAGCTACACCACCAAAAGTTGCCAAAGAGAAAACAAGCAAACCAAACCACGCTCCATCTCCACATCTGGGACCCAGGCACAGACCGCAGCTCGACACATTTCTTCCCACGTCCTGTCTCCTCGGAATAGTGTTTTGTTGGTTTTTTTGTTTGTTTCTTTTAATAGTTCCAATGCTAGAAAACATAAAGTTGTAACCTCTGCTTTATTCACATGATCTTCTCTGTGAGGTGTCTGCCCAAGTTACTGCCTGCCTTCCTAACCATCGTTTAAATGACTGCAAAATAAGGAATAATTTCATCAAAAACTTGGAACACTCTATTGGTAAAAGAGCACATTTTAAAAGTGATGACTTTCTTTTGTTATTGAAACGGCACCTGCTCATAGGAAGTTTGGAGAGCACAGGAAAGTAAAACGGAGATGAGAGTATCTCATGAGCCCATAATTCAGGGTAAACTACATAGTCCCTGGGGAAAAAAGTGATTCCTAGGAACCGTTAAAATAGTCCATCCTGGGGGTGTGGTCCTACGTACGGGATCATGAGAGCGTTGTTGATAACCTAGCATTGTTTCCAGTACTTTGGTTTTATAAATAACACCCTAACCAGCTTTCTTTTTTTTAATTGTTGTTCAATTAGAGTTGCCCCTATTATTCTCCTCTGCCCTACCCACCCCCAACTCCCACGTTGTTTTTTTTAAAGATTTTATTTATTTATTTATTTATTTATTTATTTATTTATAGAGAGAAGAAGGGAAGGACAGAGGGATAGAAACATCAATGTGTGGTTGCCTCTTGTGAGCCCCCTGCTGGGGACCTGGCTCACAACCCAGGCATGTGCCCTGACTGGGAATCGAACTGGCGACCCTTTGGTTCACAGGCTGGCACTCAATCCACTGAGCTACACCAGCCAGGACTAGAATCAACATTTTTATACAAGCATCCGGGCATATTTCCAAAGACCTCCGCAGCCTGGTGCACGTGTATGACACACCAAGACACCCCGGCCCTTCCCACACAACGACCTGCTGGTTCCTGGGTGCACTTGAGTCAGTTCAGGCCAAGTCCATGTTTACTGGGCCCACGCTGTGTATCAGACAGTGAAGTGACAGCCAAAAATGAGAGCCATCCCTGCTCTCAAAGTGGAGTCAGCATCCAGGGAAGCCCCACATCCTAGGGAGAGGCCACATTCCCTCCCAGGCTCACACACCTGGCTGCTGGGACACAGACTTAGCACAGAGAAAGACAGGGTCATAAACAGACCAGGATATCTACCCACGTCCAGGCGCCAAGTCCCAGATAAGCACCCAAGTGCAGTTTCCATTTTCGAAGCCCTGGGTCACAGCTGCCACAGCACGGTGACTGTTAGCGGTGTGCTTCTCCTGAAGAGCCCAGAGCTGTGCTCTGTTCCGCCGGCGTCCTCACGGCCACACTCGCGCGGTCTCCACGTGACTGATAGCGAGGGTCACCGCCCCGCTGGTGGCTGCAGGGCGGGTAGGCATGGAAGCGGCTCACACCCAGACAGCCTGCTCCACTGTCCATCCTCAGGACCCCCTGCTCTGCTGCCTCCATGGCCAGCTTCGCCTCGTAAGTATCTTTTAGGTCTGCCCACGTCTCTCTATCCATTCACCATCTTTATCACAGCCACTGTTGACTTTCATTTGGACACTGCTTAGCCTCTGGTCCCTCTTGCCCTCTAGAGCCACCAGCCACGTCAAAGCCAGTGCTTTGGTCAAAACCCAAATTCAACCGTGCCTCTTGCAGAGAGGCTTCTAGCACAAAATCCAAACCCCCCCCACACAGCACTCGAGGCCTGGAACCATCTGCCCTCTGCCTGTGTCTCCTGCCCTGTCTCCATCTGCTCCCCACGCCCCTCCTAGAGCCTGGCCTCGCTGCCACTGTTCTTATTCCGTGTTGGGGCCAGATTCTCTCCAACCTCAGGGCCTTTGCACAAGCCCTGCTTCCTTCAGCCACCCAAAGTCCTGCGTGACCTCCCCAGAAAGTTCCCCAGAGTCCCCTCCTTCCGTGCCCGCCGAGCGCGCCTCACCGCCCCTTCGCGCAGTTCCTCCCACCGCATACCTACTCATCAGCTGCCCTAGGGACCCCTCCACCAGGAAACAGAGCGACACCTGTTCCGTCTCCCCATTAAGTCAGCTTTCCGTCCCTTTTGTCTTTACTGCATTTCGCTGCAACCATCTACTGACTAAAATTTGAATTCCTGTACATGCTTTCATCCCATTTCCTGGAGACTGTGAAAGGCAGAGAGATGGTTGACAGGAGGGACAAGAAGACACGAGATACGTTCAGCAATTACCCAATGGTCCAAACGCTCCGAAGCAGAAGAGAGCGCAGGTGGTCCTCCCACGGCAGAGCTCCTGGGATTTGATTAGACTCAGTGACCCAGACAGTGTGGTCCCAAGAAATGCGTGGCGTTTGCCACTCTCCAGTAGGACCTGTCTCACTGGTGCGGGGAGCGGGAGCCAGCAGAGGCCGGCCTTACCTTTACCTTTCTGATACACTGCCAAGACACTGACCGTAAACTCGGCGATTTTCGGCACCCGGAACTTCCCTTTGTTCTTCTGCTCGGGCTGGAACTCTGTCCTCGTCTTCACGATCACCTGAAACATTCGGCCAGAGTTAGCACGTGTGCAGACTGGAAACCCTGCTCCCTCCTTCACTTCACTGGGCAGAACTTCCTGCGAGCTGCATAAAGGCCCCCTCTCCAGCACATGCAAGAAAATGGAAAATTCAAGTCACCCACCGCACGCCGCCAGTCCAGTGGAGACAGCCGAGGACGACATCCAGGCCACACCCTCCCAGATGTTTTATACGCAGGTATTATGTGTACTTGCTGGTTAGGCAAGAATGTATTTCCTTTTCACGCTGGATTTGTCGTCTATGAACTAGAACCTACTTTCGTCACACACTATGTTAGTATTTTTTCCACCTAGACAAATATGTGATTGTGTTTTTGCCCTTTTTTAAAAAAAAAGATTTTATTTATTTATTTTTAGAGAGAGGGGAAGGGAGGGAGGAAGAGAGAGAAACATTGATCCTTCACCTCTCACGCGCCCCCCACCGGGGACCTGGCTTGCAACCCAGGCACTGAAACTGAACAGGAAACTGAACCAGCAGAAGGACGCCCAGCGCACTGAGCCCCACCAGGCAGGGCGTATTTTTCCTGTTAATGTAGCATCCTATTCAGTGCATGCAGATGCTATAATTAATCTGATTAATCTCCATTGTTGAACATTTAGATGGTTTCCACCGTTCGGGTCACACCGACAAGCTCTGGTGAGCACCCCGAGGCTAATGCTTTGCACATAGACTGACTTCCAATTTGATGTAGGGGCTGAGAAGCATGGCGGCCTGTTGAATCCACGGTATTTTCCTGAAGTCTGAATATTTTGCAGAGGTGGTTAATATCTTCCTGAGCTGTACTGTCAGCCTGCCAAGGCATTTATGGAACGCCAGCCCCCTGTGTGGGCAGAGGGGGTGGAGAGGCAGCCTGGCAGACAAAGCTGCCGAGTGCCACCGCACTGTGGGGACCCAGGGACAGCCCGAACCTCAGGGCAGTAGCCCTAACGTAACCCCTATGAACCGAGTCAGTGCGTCCTGCGAGCCGGAAGCCCTGGGGTGTTGACTGCCCCGGCCTTTTGTGCCAGGAAGCTTCTAAGACATCAAGTTCCAAAACGTATATAATTTACAGAATATTTGTTCATATCACTTACAGGTTTCTAGTATGTAATTACTCTGTGATATTTATAGCATACATAGCACTTCTTTTTAAAGCGCCCCATTTGCCATGTGCAGTGATGGGTCGGGGTGCAGAGTGTAGGCAGAACTGGGCTCGGAGTCTCCAAATCCAGGCCCCGCTGGCCTTGCACCCCTGTGACATGTTGCTTGTGCCCTGAGTGACTTGTAAATGAAAACAGTTCTTTTGGCTTCGGAGCCTCACTCCTCAAACCACCAAGTTCAAACACAGGCCAAGGGACAGTGGGACACCCGACCCCGTGTCCACCCCCCGTTGTCAGCTCCTCTCTGTAGGTCAGAGAGCAACCAAAGCAACCCAGGCTGCGACATGATACTTGACCTTCAACCCTATGAAAGTGCTACCTCGTTGGAGCCCCATCTCCAAGTCCAGAGCAGATCTTTGCCCACCTGCCTGGACTGATCACCCCTCTGAGCCTTGGGCAGCCAGTCTGTGATGGGCTTGCCGCTTGCTGCTGCTGGGAACGTCCCTGCCCTGAGCTCTGGGTTGCCTCCCCTCTGCCGGCTCACTGACCGGCCCACCTTTGGCCCGACCTCTCGGTGTTAGACTCTCTCAGGGTCAGGTCTTGGGCACTCTCCCCTGCTCTCCAACACCCCCACTGCCACCTCCCCAGGGGCTCTCACTCCCATCGCTTCCGGGTCCATCCGCATCCTCACAACCCCCACCTCTGCATCTCCAACCCAGCACTCCGGTCACCCCACTGGACATCTGCCCTCCCACCCGCACACCCAAAAGTCTCATGTCCACGCAGGGCCCTTCCTTGAGTTCCCTGACCCACCTACCCCTCGACATTTTCTTCCCCGTGTGACCCTGAGCTCAGGAAATAGCAGCAAGATCCACGCCATCATTCATGTCAAATCACATCCAGGAACCTCCCACAACCCTTCCCTCCCCTTCATTCCCAAACGCATTCCATCATCAGCTCCCACGTCCTCAAAAATTGCTCTTGGGTCGACCCATTTGTCCGGTTACACCTCTGCCACACCAGCCCAGAGCATCCTCATCTCCCCTGGAACGTTCGCTCAGGCAGCCTCCACATTCCCATTCTTGCCTCCCCACACCAGGGGAAAAGAGCTTCCTACACCCAGTGGGCGGATGCACCAGCAAACACTGGAAGCACCTGGGGAAAACTCCGAAGGGGTGGTTTTGAGTGGCCAAGGAGCAGGGCTGGTGAGATGGCAGGAGGCAGTCAGAGGCTCCAAACGGCAGGTCAAGCACCGTGCCGTTGAACTTAGGGTGGCGAGGAGCAGAGGAAGGGTTAGGAAGCCGGGAAGGGCTTTGCAGAGGTGCAGGACAGGTCGGCCAGCCGCAGTGAGCCTCAGTGGGTCACTGAGAAATGAAGAAAGCAGAAGAGCCCAGCCCCACAAAGCTACTAGAATCAACCAGCTGGGAGGCGTGGGTGTCATGGAGCTCAGTGTTCGGTTCTCATGGAGAGGAGCCAGAAACTGTCCCCTTTTGTTAAAGAAGATAGCATGACAGTCACTTTTATTAGTGCTATGAAGGGGAAAGCATAAAGAATGTTAGCCGATCGTTATTAATTGGACCTTGGAGGAATCGGCTTGCATAAGCAAAGAGAGGGGAGAGGGAATAAATTTGCAGAGAAAGGCTCTACTCTCAGCAGTTGCAAAAAAAATGGAGCAAAACAGAGCCTCAAGCTCCATGAATAATAACAGAAATGGGAGCAAAAGTCAAGAGAGGACAGAAAAAATTTTCTTCTGTCTACTGTCAAGAGGGTGGCTAGAGATATTTGGGAAAAATGGACGTCCGGATGTTCAAATATCATGGCGGATTTGGGCAAAGAAATAAATTTGTTTTCATCTTTCTGGATCAGTTCGCAGGGCCCTGTCAGTGGCTGATATGAAGAACATCATTTAACATAAGTGTGAAATGATGGCATTGAGGAGATGGGATAAATTATTCATCCCGAAAGGACCCCTCGGCTGGATCTATTCCCCGTCCGCTGGCAAGGCCAGATGATACATGATGGTTCAGATGGCGCAAAGTACAGATCATAAAAATTTAAAATACTGCTTCCCGGGATTATCAATAATGAAGAGGCCCCCACATGGCGGGGCCCCAGTTTGGCAGGAACAACAAATAAAAGTGCAGAAGACCTGACAAGAAGCAAGACTGTATTTTTCTGAGCTGGACTGGCACCTGACAAAAATTGGCAGAAGCCGCAGCCATTGGCTCATCCCTGCGGTACAGAGAGCTGTTCAGAGCAGGACAGAGATTGGCCAGCAGCTGAGGACCTACTATGTGCCAGGCACAGGGCTAAGGGCCCAGCTCACCCCCCCGAACTGCCCTGGCAACCTTCTCTCCAGTCCTTGCATTCTTCAGAATTGTCATTCCCGGTTTTCAGGCGAGGAAATTGAGACTCAGAGAGTTGTCGCTTGCCTATGACCACATGACTGGCAAGTGGCTGTGCTGAGTCAGTGTCAAGGATGACCTGCCCTCTCCTGCAGAGTTTTGGAAAGGGGGTGCCCACTCTGTGCCAGGTACTGGGCCAGATGCTTCACTCCTTCATCGCTGCCCACCCTCTCTGCAGTCCGGCGGGGGAGCGATTGTCCCCATTCTACAGACGAAGGGCAGGAACGACTACACCGCCTGATGTGGCCACAGAGAGGCAGGACCAAGGCTGTAACCCTGGCTTCTGGCTCAGATCCAAGTGCCACCCACTAGAGAGGTCGTCATTCAAGAATCATTACACGGCAGCTGTGTGGCGAGGGGTCAGGTGGGGCAAGATGAGGGAGTCTCCCGAGGGTCCTCTACCAGGGGCTTCCAGATTCTTCTGCTCTGAGTAAGGGTTTGCTTCCTGGGCTAGAATCACATCCCCAGCTCCACCGCCAGGCCCTCCACCTGTGGTCTGGAGGCTCGGTCCATGTCACCCCCTGCTCAGCTGTGCTGGCGGCTGGGGGCCAGCCCCTGAGCTTCTGGGAACAAAGATCCCGGGGCTGAGTCGCCAATGGTAATAACAACAACCATAGCGGCAGCAATGGTAAGAAGTACCTGCCAATAAACTTTTACTCTGCACCAGACACCGCGATAAATGTTCGACACTCACTGTATCCTCTCATTTCACATTTAAACAGTTCTCAGAGGAAGATATTGTTCCCATTCCAACAACAAGAAATTGGGGGCTCAGAGTGGCTAGTGAATTTGCCCAGGGTCACACAGAGAGCAAGTGATGGAGTCAGGATTCGAATCCAATCTCTGTGTATGACTGCGAGCAAGTCACGTGAGCCGTCCAAGACTATTTTATCACCTGGGAAACTCGGGTGACTTTAGTTAAAGAACAGAAAATTTGATACGTGCTCATGGTGAAAAGTGTTTGAAATACAGAATAAAGTTCTTCGAAGGGTCCCACCGACCCCCATCCCTCCATCTTCAGCATTCAACAGTTTTCTCGGGAGACTTTCCAAACTGCTTTATAAATTATAAGAATGAAACACATGCAGGTGTTCCCACAACTGGGACCACCCCTACGATGCTCTTTAAAGTCGTTTTCCCCGCACGCTGCGCCCCTCGAGCGAGCACAGGCCGATCGGCCTCATCCTGCCTTCAGCCACTCTGGTTCCCACGCCCAAGCACCAGGGTTTGCTTAGCCCGCCCCTTTTTCCATGGAGTGTCCTGGTTTCCCAGGGTTTTATTGGCCTTTGCATCCTAGCTAAACTATACCCCCAGGATAACTTCCTACCTGCTGGAAGCATCCCAATAAAATGGCACACAGAGCTTACGTCTTACAGACCATGTCAGCACCCCCTCTGAAAAGCATTGCACCCAATTATATAACCGACAAGCGCACACCAGCACCTGCTAACTGCTAGCGTTAGCAACACCAGGCTC